CTCAAACCAACCAACCAAACAAAAAGTAACTGAGTTATTTTCTATCATCTCTGAAAGTATTAAAGCTTGTATGATCACGTGATGGATGGGCTGAGTCATAAGACAGCCAAGCTGTTTACATTCTTCCCTTTACAAGCATTTTTTTTTTTTTGCCCAGTTCTCACATATCCAACTTCAACTAGCGCAAGTTCTGCCTGTAGCTCTTGTGATTTAACTTGCTTTAACTTGCAGTGTCATTGTCTGTCTCTCACTGTTACTGGAGAGAGACAAAACATTCTACTTATCCAGGATCAATCTTAGCATTATTTGTTATAATGGAGTGAGCCGGAGGTTGATAAACATATTGAGGCCCCACCAAGAATTGAATTTGCAACAAGGTTCCAGCATCTGTTTTTGAGTCCACTCCCTGGTACTCATCCTGCAACCTCTTTCTCAATTCCTCCTCATTAATATTTTAGTATTCACAGCAACAGTGAAAGCCAGAGTAGCAGCAATTTCGCCCTAAATCCCTGAGGCCCACTTACCATAGGGTGATGCAAAATGGGCATCTGACACATACATACAATAGAGAAAAGGAAACTTCAGTTTAATTAACCTCATCGCTTATAATGGGCAGTAAACATGCCTTCAGACATTATATTTATTATACGGTAACAAACATTTCCTGCCCATTGCAACAAAGGGAGCCACCATCTCATCTTACAAAGATGTTTGTTATCCAAACATTCTTCAACAGAAGGTAGCAAACAAAAGACATTCAGTGGTTGCTTGCAAAATGCATAGAAACATGAAAGATCCATACAGAATTGTCTTCCAATAATGTAAAAAGTAAAATTGCTGGAATATAACATCTTCCAACTCACTATATAATGGCAAATTTATCTCCATTTGAACTCCTACCGACAATGTATAGATTCTCCCACTTGTTTATCTAGTTGACAACACCTTTTCAGACTTCATGCGTGTTGCTAATCTGATGCATATGAAATTGTATGTCATTTTAATTGCCATTTTTCTGATTATTGGTGAGACACATAAACTCAAGAAATAGTACTGAGCACCAAATCTGCGACAGATCTTTTTTAAGTATCTGGGATTACATAAGTGAAAAAAAGAAGGGAAATCACATACTTATGTACTTTATATTCTGACAAGTATAAAAACAATACACGTAATTAATTAAGTAAATTATACAGTATTATGTCCCTTTAAAAAATGTTCCCCGTTCCCATTAGAAAAACTATAAACATTCTCTTCCATGTGAATTTAAAAATTTTATAAATTTACTTTCTAAGTTTAAATGTTAACCTTTATCCACTTGGAAATTATTTTTTGTACAAGGTGTGAGGAAGAGCTGTTTCCTATTTGGCTTATGAAAAACAGATTAATCTAGCACCCTTTATTGAATAAAAAGACACTTCTCATTTATATGAAATGTCACTTATGATTCCCTCTTCATGCATGCAAATCAGTTTCTAGATCTCTCCTCTATCTCACTGATATATCAGACTCTCTGTTTTAATCCTTGCAATCTATACAAAGTACTCTCCTGGGGCTCCAGAATGATCGGTTAAAATATGAGACAAATCACATCACAATTCTGTTCAAAACAATCAAATGGTTCCTCATCACACTCGGTGTTAAACCAATTCCATTCTAGCACTTCCAAGGCTCTAAGCTTTCTGCTTCCCCCAGAGCCCCCGCACCTCTCTGAACTCACTTGATATTCCCTACCTCACTCCCCCAGCTCCAGCCATGCTGGTATCCTCGGTGTCTCTAGAACACGGCTTGGCACTTGCTGTCCCTGTACCTGGAATTCTCCTTCCCCAGGCACGCACAGGGCCAGTCCTCTCATTGCCTTCAGGTCTTTACTCAAAAGCCACGTTCTCAGTGTGGTTCTCCCTGGCCTTCCTATCTAATCCATTTCAGACTCCTGTCTGGAATTTCCATTCCTCATTCCTTGCTTTCCTTCTTTTCCCTCTTAACACTTACCAATTTGAAAATACTTTTGATTTATTTATTGTATCTTGGCTAATGTCTGACACATTAAAATGAAAGTCCCACGAGGATAGGATTATATTATTTGTTTCTTTTTTTCAATACCTCATCATAGGTGCCTGTGCCTAGAAGACTGCTGGCGGAGAGCTACCTGTAGTTAGGATTGGTGCGATGAAGCTAAAACAAACACAAAATGGAGTCAAACTAAGGCAAAAGGGGAGCTAGTCAGTTTTCCCTGGGTCTTGCCTCAAAGCTACACACACTCATGCCTCCGGGGACAACGGGGCATTGTATTCATTAGAGGGAAGCAGGCCAGCTGGGGGCTTGGCCACCTTGAGGGAGCATCTGAGTCTATCATGGGCTGACCCCTTCCTCAGACCCAGCTGCTGTGTCCTTGTTGGAATGTGGACCACAATCCTCAGTTTACTGGGTTTTTTTTAGGTGGGCCAGAAATAAGAAATCTCCCAAATGTTCAAGTAGTTATATAAGCATAGAAAACTATGCTAATTAGAAAACAAAAAACAGGAAGATCAAATGAAACATGACAGCTGGCTGAAATTAGCTCATGGGTATCCTGCAGGTGTTTGTCAGACTAAATTGTGTGATATATGAAAGAAAATTAACCACTG